GGTGGTCGGTACCATGTGGGGAGCTGCCACAGCGCTGCCACAGCCCCCCAGACCAAAGCTCCTCCCAGGAGGTTCATGCCCTGCGTTTGGGGGGCTGGGAGATGCAAAGAGAGTTCAGGGAAGGTGGAGCAAAAGCTGCTGGGGTCTGACCCAATCGGCAGCGAAGCTGTCCCAGGCTGGGAACAGGCCATTCTCAGTCACTGTGCTCCTCTGCGCTGTGCTGAAATGCACCTCGCTTAGCAGAGGGGTTTGAGCAAGATGCTCTTTCTCGCCTGCCCTTCTGGGGAGAAATGTGACTCTTCGGCTGGGGAGGGGGACAGGCATCTCCTGTGGGGTCTCTGGGGCTGTGCACCCAGGAGCTCTGACCAAGCAGTTTCCCTCCCTTTTTACAGGTACAGAGGAGACACCGCTGCCTTGTGCTGCCGCCTCACTCACACCCCACAGCCTGTGCCCCCTCGCAGCAGGGCTGCCCCAAGAGAGCTGGGGTGACCCCCACTTCACTTCTGCCCTCAGCAACCGGACTGAGAGAGACCCTCCACACAGTGAGGAGTACGTGGCGTGGATTTAATCCCCAAGGGAAGAGGCCAGGCTCCCTGCTGGGAAGAGGTCTTTGTAGGGGACAACCCTGCCTGTGCCCTCCTGGCTGACAGACACCCTGGTTTGTTACAGCTCCAGCTGATAGACACTCCAGCTACTGGATGCTCTGGATTAGAGATGCTCCTGGTTTTCACAGCTCTGGCCGATGAACTGTCAGAAGCTGAAGCGTCCAAGGTATTTGAAGCTCCAGTTCCTGCTTCTTACAGCTCCAGCTCCAAATCGCAGTTCTGGCTACTGCACAGTTGGGATACGAGATGCTCCTGCTGACGGATGCTCCTCCCCTTGTTACAGCTCGGGTTATGGACACTTGGGCATCTCTTGAGTTTCAGGTAATGCCAGCTCCAGCTTCAGCTCCTGGACATGAGATGCTCCTTACAGGCAATTGATGTTCCACCTCAGGTTATTTGAAGCCCTGAGTTATTTCAGCTCCAACACACTCGGGAGAAGAGATGCTCCTACTGCTTCCAGAAGCTGCTTCTTCTTATAAGCTAATTGAAGCTCCAGCTACTCGCAGCAGTCTGGGCTTTTGGCGAGGTCGTAAATCAATCACTGTCATAACTTGAATATGAACTGTCATAATTGTATGTTGTCTAAATATTGACTAATTATTTAATAACTGCCAGTCATTGTACAAACCTTGAATAAAGAGTTGGAGAAAAGCATCTTTCCCCCCAGTCTCAGATGTTGAGTTTGACCTGGTGCATGCCAGCCTCCCTAACTTTGAGGACCAATGCGAGCGGACCCCCACCTCCGGTAGCGGTCCATGCACCCTGCCCTCCCAAAGCCCCCCCCCGAGGCTCTGTTTCCAAGTCCCAAAAATGCAGCACTTCTTAGGTTTTTTTCTGAGTCCCAGAAACGCAGGACTTACTTACTTACTTAGTCTTTCTCTGAGCTTCAGAAACACAGGGCTCTGCTTTTAAGACCCAAACCCACAGGACTTCTTAGTCTTTTTCTGAGCCACAAACCCAGCACTGAATTTCTGTTTTCTGCTCCTGTGTGTGATGTTGGAGGTAGGGGGAACATAGCCCCTGCACAGCCCAGGACCTCACATGCAGTTTTAGGGAATGCTTGGGAACTGTGGTGGGGGCAGCCCTCCCTCTTGGGAGGGCCCAGCCCTGTAACCCTCTGCATTAGCTGTTGGTGAAGGCAAGCAGTCATCAGGCTCTAGCCTTTCAGGCTTTATTTGCTCTCTGCCAACCGTGGCCATTCCATACAGCAAATCCAAGGGCAGCAGCAGCTTCTCCCCCCTCTGCAGGGAACTGTGCCTGTGAGTGCAGCCCCAGCTGGACCACTCACACCACAAGGGGTGCTTAAGCAGGAGAGGAGCATCCAGGAACATCATCTAGTGCTCCTGGAATACAGGAGGGACCTGAGTTGCTCTGCTTCCTCAGCTAAGCAGCCAGGCAGGGAAAGGGTGCAGGGCAGGGGGTTCCCTCTGGTCCACCTAGCACAGACACGAACCCCAGCTGTACTAGGATCAGGGCCTTGCTCAGGAACACCCCCCCAGATGCTCTAGGGCAGCTCGTAGCCAGCCCTGCAGACTGCTCCCCACAGGGCAAGCCACATCAGGCCTTCCCCCCTGGCTTCTCTATGGCGTCCCAAGTAGGGGCTGCAGCCAGAGCAAGCTGCTGCCTCCCCAAACCTGTGCATCCTCTGGGGCCGGGCTGTGCCAGGGCTGTCGCTGGCAGCTCTCTGGACATGGGGGTGGGAAACACACTTTTACAGTACCAGCTCCCTGCCCTGACCCACTTGTACACACACCCCCACACCCCGACACCCCCACCCCCTGGACACCTGCACTTACCGGCAGCGGCCA